AAATTTTTATGTCATTAGAGTGTATTTTAGGTTACGTTTTAATTTACGTTTCTGGGTACATGCTCAGAGATATGCCTTTGCAGTCAAATTGTTTTACTTGTAAAATATTCAGATCCCGAGGGCGACTTTCCTAGCACTTCAGCTAAAATGCAAAACAAGGAAACTTTACCCCTAAATCAGCGCAGGAGCGTGTCCCGGCGAGTGACGACAAACATACCCGGACAACAAACAAACTTTCATTTAGCTCCGGAGGTGGTCGACTCGGGACTTTGAAATTTCTTAGCAACATCAAGACGGCACCTCCGAATATTTTAATACTTAACACTTAATCCCCGCCACGGCTGGAAATCTAACGCAGTAACATTTGATTTGTGGCATAAATTTAAATTATATAATAATGGACGGTGCCCGCGACTATGTCTGCATAGAATAAGTACTTCGAATAGCCTACTGTAGTGCCTATATTAATTTTCATAGTTTTATTGGTTCTCCCTACAAACTTTCAACCCCTATTGAAAACTTTTATCCCTAGGGTTCACTGAAAACCAGCGCCACAAAGTGATATGTCACAGTCTTAACTAGACTGTGGCGCAGGTTTTTATATGCTTATAAGCTGAATGAGGTCCTTTCCTACTGTCATTTGTGAGTACGCCGCAGCTGCACAAATGATGTACAAATTTGTACTAGTTATATTTTGTTTATTGCTTTTTATCTGCTTTACTTTATAGTATATGTTGTTTTTTTCTTGATTTTGTATTTTTTATTTTGGTTTTTAATTCTTTCTACTTTGTTTTCTTTGTTTAAGTATTATCAATCTCTTGTTTGTATGTACGTGTTGTGGCGTTTCAATAAATGTCTATTCTATTTCACCTCTCTTAAAATTTATTTATGTGTTAAAAAGTAGCCTATGTCCTTTTTCTGGATTTCATCAATCTCTATACCAAAATTACTCGCGAAAAAGTAACAGTTACTTTCGCATTTACAATACTAATTTCGAAACTAGTTTCGATAGATATCTAGTACTATACCACCCAACAGCTACACTGTTTGTTTTTTTTATCAATTTTATTAAAATCTAAATCAAAATTTAACGCACGTAAAACACGATATTCGTGTATTCTGTTCCAAAACAACAAAAACTGATAGAGATTATTGCATTTTCAACAACGTATATTTTGAAACAAACTTTGAATAACAGCGAAATAAACGTATGCCCCAGTTCTCAATTCGAATTTTGTTTACATACTGAGTCGGGAAAAATGTAGGGAAATGAATTGGACCAGTCAACAAAGCGCTTCAGACACGTTCAGCAAAAAATGTTAGTTATACCCGTGTTCAATTTTCATCGGTATAAACTTGGAGAAGTTTTTTTCAATGGCTAATGAGCTCTACAAATAACAATGGATTAAAACAAGCTGTATTTCGTCTCTATCTCTCTAACCTATTTTGAGCAGCGGCTGTGGAAAGCGAAATGGTGGTATCGGCAAAGAATTGTAAATACGGAAACAAACCGAGATCGTGAAAAAACATTCGGCGTCGGCCACTTACACGGACACGGATAGCGCAGCTGCGAACTGGGAGTGAGTGTTCGTTTTGGGATTAGGAATAATTTTCAATTATAAAATGATGGATTTTGACAAATTAAAAACAGAGATAAGCAGACTTTTCGCAATTACGTCACATCTACAAAAAGACAACTTTTCAGGACAGGTTTAAAGATTCTGCGAAATTAATCGGTGACGTTTTATATTGATAGACATAACGTTTTGTATTTATATATAATTATACATTACATGAAAGTTAAAAAATTTGACATACACATAATTTATTTCATATATTGTGTTATGCGTATGACTATCAAGTGATGAAAGCTTTCGTTTATTGTCTTCCACACACACACACGCACCCGCATAACAGTACCATACAATAAAAGGATTTTAATCCATCTCTATATTCTATTTCAATGGAAAGACACAGAAATTAAAGTAAAATTATTATTATTACGTGTAAAATCAATTCTTAAGCAAACGATAATATAAATATAACATATATATATAATATAGAAATACGAACCTCCGACCAGCTATTTAATATTTAACGGGATCTGAAACAAAGAAAAAAATATTGGTCTTAGAAGGAACACATTTATCATTCTTATCCAATGAAACGTGTCGTTAGTTACCTACAAGGATATTAATAAGGACCATCTCGAGTGAAACAGGATATCTAATTTTAATCGTATCCTTTCAGTTCTTTTTTGTTGCATATATACCAATTGCAACACGTTGTGATATCAGTAACTTTGTTATTAATTAAAATAGCATTTAATTTTAGTGCAATGGACTGTCCGGAACTGCTATAATAAATATCACTAAAAGTTCCCCTGAGAAACTATTCACTTTTGTTTCTTCGCCCGACCCATACTAATTACAGGCAAAGCGAGCAATAATTCACAAAAAGTGTGACTGCGGCATGAAATGTAATTGTTTTTTATTTATTGTATTGCTCTTTGTGACTTATAATTTTATTTTTTATAATATTAAGTGACGGCACGAATAAATCGTGCGCCTGATGGTAAACTACAAGCCCGTCCATAACAGCTACAGTGCCACTCAGAGCTTCAAATCGCAAAGATCTGAGGGGCGCCCGTCACCCTGAGACATAAGTTGACAAGCCCCATGTGCCTGTAATTTCACCAGCACCCTTACCCTTCAAAACCGGAACACAGTAATGTTAACATTACTGCTTGGCGGCATATATAGGTAAGGTGGCAGTACTTCCCTGGACGAACTTTTTCACAAGGAGCTCTATTGCTTACAAAAAAAGAAAAGAAAAAAATATACTTATAAATGACCTATACCTAAATGGCCTTCAGTTGTTATTATTAACCCTCAGGCTCAATTTATATTGCGGCGGAACGGAGTGGAAGTGAATTTTTGTAACATTATGGTCAATAATATAATGTACAAACGAAATACGAGCCAAAAAATCTTTCTCGGTATTCTCACGCGCGCTCGCGCATTCCGCGGAAGATTTTAGCTCGTTTTTAGTTTGTACGTTACAATAATGATAAAGTGCATTATGCTATGTTACGCTGCAATATAAATTAAGTCTTATTTTAGTTTTAAGCTATGGGCGTTTGTAATAAATGAATTTCTTTTTCTTCTTTTTTATAATTATTTTATGCTATTATAAATATTTTGTTCTCCGTGTACTATTTTCCTGAGTTTATGCTCATTCTTACGAATATGGGTGGAGTTATTATCGTTTTATATTATGGCACTGGGCTGGCTGTGCCTTTGTTAATGTTTTATGCATGCGCATTGCCCCACGGGGCGCTGTCCCTGCACTGATTAATAGGTAATCAAAGACCCTAGTGCGTTCTTCGAGTGTTCCGGTGGGATCCCAGCACGCACTCGTCAAACAATAGGCTCTCCAGCCGGCTTCACTTTTTCGCCTACCCAAGTGCCCTGAATAATAAAAAAAAAATCAATGGTTTCAAGTCCTTGACATCTCAAGCACATGGGCGTTCGTGTTCAAGGGTTATTATATAATTTCTACGAACTTCATTTGTTTCTTAGTAAATCCCATTGGTCCAGTTGATTTATATCTAAAAACTTTCTGTATTTCGTGATTGAGTACATTTGCTAAAATTCCATTCATATATAACAATAATATTACAGACAACCAGACAAATATCCCGTTCTCAAATTAGGGAAATACCTGTACTATAAGTACCAGAGCAACGAAATTCGCTCTCAGATACCCAGAACACCCAGATCACAATCAATTTAATACGTATTTGGATATATATTTTTTATTATAGTGTCGAGACGAACAAGTCGTGCGCCTGGTGGTAAGCGACACGCCTGTTCATAACAGTTGCAGTGGCACTCGGAACTTTAAATCACAAAGATCTGAGAGGCATTGCCACTGTACCCGTCACGGTAAGACAAGTTGACAAGTGCCGTCTGTTATTTCACACTTACTCTTCAAAACCGTAACGCAGTAATGCTCACATTACTGCTTGGCGGCGGTAATAAGTAAGCTGACAGAACTTACCAGGACGAAGGACGAGTGAGTGCTTGTTTCGATAGTTTCCGCTTTTATCGCTGTAATTTTCTACATTCCAGATTCTATTCCTAAGTTCCACCCTTATTTTGTGGGTGTTCCCCGGATTCGAACGAAGCGTTTCGCTTCCACATTTATGCGGCGAGCGGCTAGGGAGTGGAATTCCCTGCCTGCAGACTTGATCCCCGAACACTATAACTTGGACCTTTTCAAGACGAGAGTGAATAGGCATTATTTAGGTGTGCACGTTACATCCTCGACCTCATCTTCACTTTCCATCAGATGAGATGGAGGTCAAATGCGCACTAATTTTTTTTTATATAAAAGAAAGTGACAAAATTCATAACAAATGGTAGTCTCTGCTTTTCAACAAACATAAATTATTGAAACTTTCAATGAATTTTGTGTGGGAAGTAAATTTATCGAATACAACCATTAATTTCGATCATGTTTATCGTCGTCTCTTTAACATGCTGTCATATAAATAAAACTCCCTGGCCATTAGGTTCGGCTGACTGCCGGCTGCCATGTGAGCGGACAAAATATCACAAGGGAGGCTGCGAGGCAACATCGGACCCCATCAATATCTGTCATCAGCCACCGAGTAACCAAATAAAATTATTATGAATGACCGGCCGATGGGTGGATGACACAGAGGTTCCTGTTTCACTCCCATATTACATGAGATGACCTAATTCGCTGAAAATGTTTCCTGTGTCATCGGGAAATGAGGCTATGGAACGTTGCCCGAGCTTACTGATTATTTTTTGTCTATAAATCAAAATTATTTATCGGTATTTATATGGTCTGTGGTTATCACACATATTATCATCTACATGTTGTTTCTTTAGCTGTAAAATTGTTTATAAAGTAAAAGTAGCTTATATATCGTACCCCTTATATTATAAAGTCACATGGATCATACGTCATAAATAGTTTTATAAACCGACTTAACAAAAAAGAAAGAGATTTTCAATTCGACTGTATTTTTTGTATGTATGTTATATAACGCGATAACTCATTTGTGAATCGATTTTAATGATTGGTTTTTTGTTGTAAAGGGGGTACCTCAATATATGTCCCGTTTAAATTTGAAGAAAATATTCCAGCTCTAAGTGTGGCAAAGTGAATCCGGTTTCGTGCACTTTCCTGTAACCAATTTCAATAAAACTTTAGCAAATAGATGTAATTCCACGTGCTTTTGAAGTAGTTTTTTTTTTACAAAAAAAGTTGCAATTATTGTCACATAAAAGTTATGAAATAATACGAAGTACAGGAAACAAAATAAATTATGTTAACGTGAAATTTTATAACTCTTATAGCGCGTCAACACCATCTAGTGCGCCTGAAGCGTACTCGTAAGCGTCCTACCCGATATCGCGAAGACCACCCATCCCCATGTTTAGTCTTTACGAATGTAGATGGCGCTTCTCGCCATCGACCTTGTTTTGACAAAATATCACTTTTTCATGACCAAATATGGTAATAACGAAACGACTTCCGGTAACTTCCGTTTTAGGCGTGATTACCAACTCTCACCCCCGCGCGCTCTAGTTAGTATCCAAAAGAGTCCACGTCTAACACTAGTTCCAGTTAGAAGTCTTTCATGTGCGCGTGTCTTTTCTGCTGTAATTTTGTATTAGTTCCTGTTATAAGTACGTCGTAGTATCTGTGTAATATCTCTGCGCCCCGTTTATTTATATGTAATAAAGACCCATAGTGCTCTACCGACTGACTTACTTATACTTATTTAGCCTGGCCATACTCTCTTATTTAAGTAGCAGTAGAGCTCCTCGTGAAAGAGTTCGACCAGGAAAGTACTGCCACTGCTATTTCTGCCGCCAAGCAATAATGTGAGCATTACTGTGTTCCGGTTTTGTAGGGTGCTGGTGAAATTACAGACGAATAGGACTTGTCAGTTTGTGTCTCAGAGCAATGGGCGCGGTGGCAGTGCCCGTCAAATCTCTGCGATTTAAAGCTCTGGGGGCACTGCAACTGTTGTGGGCAGGTGTATCGCTTACCACCAGACGCACGACTTGTTCGTTCCGCCACTTGGTATCATAAGAAAAGTGTAAGCGAAGAAAGATTCCCAGCGGCCGCCGCGCGGCGCCCGCCCATATACCACGTCTTCATGTACATTAATCGCGAATCTGAATTCTATTTACTAAGCAACAAGATTTAAAGTCGCCGCTGCTTGCCCGAGACGCTCATTTAAGTTAAAACGTAAAAGCTAAATAAATATAGTGTATTTTGCCACGACTTTGTCGCTGCGCGGGGGCATCACGAACCCCGCACGGCGACAGTGGTGAGCTCGATGAAATTCATGTCAAATAAATGCCCCCTTAAAGTACCTAAGTTATCTACTAAATTAGTTCGTAGAATGTTTAAATCTCTTTCCTGAAAATTGTCGTTTTACGGATGAGGCCTGTGTCAACAAGGGTGCGTTATATATTTACATCAAACGAAATACTACAAAAAGTCTAAGCCTAAGCTGTCACCTTATTAAATGGAAGCAATAATCACTGCGCAATGAGCAGCGCTGACTTTTTGTAGAAGTATCGATTTCCTTGCCCATTGTTACAGTTTTTGCGCTTATTGCGGGTAAGAAGGAAACAAGTATACCAATGTTTATGCAGTTACCCATGCGTGGTGTAGACTCAACAGAGCTCGCAACTGTGTCAAGGATGATAAGCGGAAAATTTCGTTTGAAAGCGAAGAGGGCGCGTTTAGCCCTCGCTCTTCTGGATAAAAGAACGATTCTAATTCTCATAGCTCGCAGAAATACGATCTGCCGTCAAAAAAATAATGACAAATAACCCTAAGCTCTGTATAAAAACAAATCGATAAATATACGGGCCTCTTCAAGTTATGATATCAGATAGATACGGTTTATGAAATATCGCATCGTAATACCGTTTTTACGACAATTTTAAACCAAGGAAACAAATCTCCAGGCAATTTTAAGGTAAATAATGTGAAAATTAAACAGGCAATAACTGGTTACCAGCCGTGCGTAAACTGAAATTTATAACG